TATGATTTTTTGAGCATATGCCGTTTTTGGTCGAAAACTCAGAAATCATGACGTCACTAAAACCTCGATATCTCAAAAACTTTCCGACCGATTTTTTTGAAACTTTGTCATAATAAACTTCAATCAATTCCTTACAGGTACCCAAAATTTTGCGCGCCTGCGGCGCGCCGTTTTTACGCTATGGCCCGGCGAAAAAAGTGGGGGCGTTTAACGCCCCCCCCCCCCAGCAACTCGCGGGTTAAATGTTTGACTAAAATGTTTTGTAGCACGCGGTGGTATATGCTGCTTTGCGCGCAACAAATGCCGCACTTTCAAATAAAGTCGCTAGGAACAGCAGGGATCCCAAAAAGTAAACAAAAGTAAAAGTCTAATATCTTGAAAACCGGTGAATATTTTTCGATGAAGTTTGGTAGATATTCGTTTTTGCTCCTTCTGAACCGAGCGACATCACTTTCATGCCAATTCATTAATTTTTTTGAAGGTGGGAGGGTCCCTTTAAACATCGTACACTGCTCTGAGGTCCGTCTAAAACATCCTACACTGTTCTAAGGCCCATCTACACTCTACAGTCTACAGTCTACAAATAACGTCATCGCACCTTGCTATAATATCTGTCTACCACTACAGACCCACGTGGTCCTTCTTCGTGTGACCGTAAAGCGACCTGTGCCATGCCACCACCTGGGTCAGCGCCTGCAGCTGGTCCTCATCTTCCGTTCTGTCCATCAACTCCTGTGCCAGCTTCACTCCGCGATCCGCTCCATCATTCACAACTGCCAGGCTGTTGACGTAATTGGGAACTGCGTTGTAACCTGAGATACTTTTGCATTTTCTGACAGGCTCTTGCAACCATTCGAGGGCGCACTAATCCAGAATCTGGATGAGTGCGCCCTCGAATGGTCGCACCGGGCACCCGGCTATGGGAATCATATGAGTGCGCCCTCGAATGGTTGCAAGAGCCTGTCAAAAATGGAAAACTATCTCAGGTTACAACGCAGTTCACAAATACGTCAACAGCCTGGCAGTTGTGAATGATGGAGCGGATCGCGGAGTGAAGCTGACACAGGAGATGATGGACAGAACGAAAGATGAGGACCAGCTGCAGGCGCTGGCCCAGGTGGTGGCAAAGCACAGGTCGCTTCACGGTCACACGAAGGACGTTACATGGGTCTGTAGTGGTAGACAGATATTAAACAGGGTGCGATGACGTTACGTGTAGACCGTAGAGTGTAAATGGGCCTCAGAGCAGTGTACGATGTTAAAGATGGATCTAAGAATAGGATACGATGTTTTAGACGAATCTCAGAGCAGGGTACGATATTTTAGACGGATCTCATAGCCGGGCACGATGTTGTTGTACGCGTGGACGGTCTCAGGACAGTGTACGGTGAACTTAATACCCATAGCTGCAATGTAAATTTGATTCTGTTCAATCTGCGTTTATGTGGTGTGCCATTGCCGCAGACTGTTCGATCTGAAGCGAGACATTTGAAGCGCTAACCTGAGACCTTTATTTGATCGCTTACTACTAAACGAAATCAGCGGCACATGAAATCACCCACACCAAGATTAAAACTGGCATTGCCTTCTATCCGGTAGGCACGCACGCAGTCACGCTCGCGCACACGCACACACACACATACACACACGCACAGAGGCATACGGGCACGCACATACACAGTTTCACACGTATGTATGCGTATATAAACCCGGATTTTCATCATTGTGCAATGTGCGTGGGATCTGAGCATCACTGAGCATCGAAGAAGATAATATTGATACGTTGCTTACACATATTTCCCATTTTGCATTCGGAGACTACAACGCTGCACTATCATATAACACCAAAATGCAAATAAAACTTCAGAGCACTAGCGGCAACCTTGTTTACCGGTAGTTTACTCTATAAATTGGTGTGTGAGGTTCAAATGAACCAAGCAACGGGATCCCGGTGTATCCTAAGTGAATTGGAAAACTTCGTGAAATTTGGGACACCCTTGAGTGGACATGGTTGCATTAGGCTTGATCAGTTAACTTGATCTGATTCTGGTGACCTGACCTGACATGACCTAGGGTCAAAAATTCCACACATTATCCAAAATTGATGTACAGAAAGCTGCCCCAGGCGGCGCGGCGCTACGCGCCGCGGTTTTCTATTCATACCCAAAAAACGCGGCAGGGTAGTAGCATATGCCCCCCCCCCCCCACTGGGGCGAAGGTTAAGAAGCCGCAAGCAAAATTTTATCAAAATCCGTTCATAACTTTTCGAGTTATGGACTGAAAACAAACAGCCAAATCTGTCTGGCCCACCCTGTAATGGATGCGCCTGCAGCCTACAATCTACAATGTCATGCAAACTGCATACCCTGATTAGATGTGATTATATGTGACTCCCTTCGACTGCTATGCAAGGTGCATCCATGCATTAAGGGCCGACTCGGATCTATTTACATCAGTGATCGCCTTTCAGTGCCCTCCATTCGACAATCGATTGCTTTCAAAATATTCCCAACTGGTGGAAGTCACACAGCTATCCAATACTTTCATCACACTTCTTAGCGGGGCTACCTTCAAGTTAAGTAAGATGAGCATGGATACGATACAAACATGCAATCATACTGTCATACCATTTGAACGGTAATTAGGTAAATACCTACAATGGCTTCTTGTGCCTTTTCCAAGAAGAAGATTGTCTTATTTTATTCCCAGAACTAAACTTCGTCTAGTAATTTTTGATCATTTCAACCTCTAAAACGTTGCAATAGTGTATGTACTATGTATGCATGTATGTATGTATGTATGTATGTATGTGTTGCCGATTCATTTTCATAGTGTGTTTTGCGTGTGGAAGTGTGTTTTATAGTTTTCCGCCGTGCCACGTTTTATTTTAAGGATAATGAAAGCGACCTCACCTCATCAGTTGCTTTAACCCGCGCCCCACTGGGGGGGGGGGGCTATTCATAGCCCCCCTCCCGTTTTTCTGCAATAACTTCCAAACCGCTTGACGTATCGACGCCAAACTTTCATTACCTTCGGCTGCATCAATTTGACACCTTGTGTCAAAATTTGAACTTCGTAGCTACGATAGGTCGGCCGGAAAGGACGTCAGAGTGACGTCATGTTCGGCCGATTTCGACGCAAAACATTGAACCACGACAATCGCTCCCAAGGGCTCAGTTTTTAAGCTAGATCCAATTTCTTTGCACGAGAGGACTCAGAATAGACTGCGCTATCAAACTGCTATCTCGGATTTTCGAAATTTTGAAAATTTCGAAAATTTTATATAATCAAATTCAAAATTTTACATTTTTGCATTTTTTTAAAAAGTTTTTGACTTTTCGAAACAAACCGAAATATATGTGATAGAACGCGTTATTATGGCTAACCCTAGCAAGTTTTAGCTAAATATCTTTAAAAATGGCCAAGTTATACGCATTATTGCAAAAAATTCTCAATTATTAATTTTTCAAATAAATTTCTCACCACGTATTTGACATCGTACGCCAATATAAATAGCTCCATCGTGTTCCGGAGCTCAAACTGCATCCAATAGACACCTTTTCTGTTGAAAAATTATAACTTCAAAATTTGACCTTTTTTGACCTGAAAGTGACCTGACCTAAGCTAAAATCGACTCAAAATGACCTCGAATGACACAGACGACATCAAATTCGAAATATTTGGCCTATATGGACCATAAAACATGTGTCACGTGACCGACGCATGATATAATATATTCGTGACCTGTGATGACCTGACCTTGACCTGAAAATCAAAGTACAAGTTTGGTACCCTCAGGGTATCTAGAGCACCTGTTCACGAGTGTGTGAACCAAAAATGAGCCTGATCTGACTTGTAAGACGGCGGCCAGAGCCCAAAACGTGAACAAGCCAAAATGCTAATAATTTTTACTTTGACCTGACCTGTGACGTCATCGGTGACCTCGAGGTCAATGAAATTAGGTTTCGCTCGACAGTTTTCCGGGGCTATCAGACACCGTTTGAATATTGACGATCGGCCCAGTAGTTTCGGAGTTAGAAGGGGGCTATGAATAGCCCCCCCCCCCCAGTAGGGCGTGTTATACGCAGACCCCAGTGGGGCGCGGGTTAATTTCTCTCCATACTGAAAGGATGTCGTCAAAAGATGTTTCTCGTGGTGTACTTTATTTTCCTGTTTTTGGTTTGTTTGCTCGTCAGACACCAGAAAATATTTTCATTGTGCAAAAGTGTATTTTATTGTTTTCTTTATTTCAATTTAATATACTTCTCCAATGGAAAAGAAGTGTCTCGTGTGTGTTCCAGTACGGAACAGTATGCATGCATGTATGCATTTATGACTGCAGCCGTAACTGGGCCTTGGCCTGTGATTTTTTGGTCAAACAAACAAATAAATAAGTAAGCGTTGCGATTACGGCTATGTTTTACATACTGCTTGAATGTTTAGGCGTTCTGCATATACGGTACATTAGGCTACGTTCCAAACGTTATTAAACATTGCGCTCTTTAACTCACGATTGTCAGCGCACGATTTTACGCTGCAGTCAGAATAAATGCGGTTGCAACAGTTTGAACGACGGGAAACGAATCAACTTCCCCGGGCGAAGTTGCGACCAGGTCCACTAGCCCTTGCACGACCGCTGAGTTTCAACACGGCGAAAGGAAATGAAACAAATAAACCCGCGGGCACTTACGGTAGGCCTTATATGTATGAGACAGACGCCAGTTACAGGGTTTAGCCACTATTCTCTGTTCTCGTGAGCGCAATGGTGCTGTTGCCCACGGGCGCATTGTAAATATATCTGATAGCAGAACGCTTCTCCGCGCCGCATCGCAGCACCTCAGGCGGCCGCGCTAACGCCAATTATACCGCCGAAGTTAGCATAAATTCAAGCCTCATCACTCATTTCGCTGGGTTCACCTGTTTGACTTGCCCGGCGGCCGGAGACGGGCGCATGCGCCCGGTGCGCCCGCCGCCGCCGCCGCCGCCGCCGCCGCGGCTCCAGAAGCGGTGTGGACGCCGAGCGGTGCGGACGTGTGCGCGTGGTGGAGCAGCGCGAGCGGACCGCGCGGCCGCGTGACCTCAGTGACCCCAGTGACCGGGCGTGACCTGGCCGCACCGAGCAGCCCTAACTGGAGTCGGCTTCCTGCGGCAGCGATCGGCGCCAGGTCAGTTGGCCGGCCTTCCGGCGCGGGCCGCCCGGGTGACCCGTTTAATGACCGGCTGCGGTGGTCGGTTCCCACCTGGGCCGCCGCGCTGACCGCACGGCCCGGGTCACCGGCGCCGGGCCGGGTCGGCAGAGTCAATCACGGGCGCCCGCTCTCCCACCGACCCGCGATTCGGTGCGCTCATTAGCTCATTACCGTCCAGTCCATGACTCGGACTGCTGATCGATCGGGCGGGTGAAATTGAAAAGCGAGCAGTGATCAGATAGAAATCTGCTCTTTCTGTGCCGCACCGGATGCATTCCGATCCAGCTCCCTCGGGGCCGAGAGATTTCTAATCGATTTCACGGAGCGAGCTGTCTCGTCCGTCGCTCGTAAACTTCTCCCACTAGCGTGACAGAAGCTTCTTTTTTTCTTTTTTTCTTTGTTTTTTGTTTGGAACTGATACTGTTTCTAGGGATGGTTTGATACAATAAGGCACTTTGTGTCTGGTTTTTCCTGTTATGTCACTACTACCTCACAAATCGAGTAGTAAATAAGCAAATATCGGTGAAGAAACGCCCGATATGATGCATGGCCGTCATTTTACCGGGTTCCTCGCTGTTTACTGTCGTCCGGGGAGCGAGCTCACGCGGCTGCAAACTGAACTTTTCTAGCCGTCCTAACAAAAAAAGAAGTTATTTTGATAAACATTCGATAGCGTAGTTGTTCTAATTCCATGAACAAGGTTATCTTTTCCGATCGAATCAGTTTTAATGATCAGAATACTATCACTCGACCATTCTAAAACATGTTGCTCCATTACAAACATCATTGCTCCGATTATTTCGATAAAGCGATTTTCCGATTACTGTTTTTCGTACCCCTCCCCACGACATATGTGACCATGATTTACAGGCCATGTCGAGGTGAATAATGTCCATGTAGGATGTATTTACATCTCGATAATTCGGGTCATGTTTCCACCATGCATGCTTCCAGTTCCACCTGGTCCGCTGTGCAACAGGCGAGATGTCACCACATTGGTGTCGGTGGCTTATTTAGCCTCACTCCACTCTCGTATTGTATAATGCCATCGGGCGTCTGAGCGGTCGGCTCGATCATGCCTTCCAAGACCAATGAAATCACCTCAGACTCTGATCAGCTGCCCACAGAGCGGTCTCAGTCATGAGTAGGTGTGGGCTGAATTCAGACGGAGCCACCGGGTCGGCGAGCCGTTTCACTAATCGTTCTCTGGTCACCGCTCGGCCTGTGGATCTGCTCAGCTATGTAAATTGACTCCGTACGCTAATTTCGGTAACCGGCAAATTATCCACCTCCATCATCAGTATGCGTCAGGAACAACACGAGCTTGGATTAGTCAGTTTTGTTATTTCATTGGTAGTTTATCTATGAGAGTGATATGACGACCATTTAAAGGATTTTAAAAAGGAATTTTACGTGCTGTGATGTACAGTTAATAAGAATGGACTCGCTTTTGGTTGGGTTAGTCCGGTGCCAAATATTTATTTCTTGTGTTTCCGTGCCATTTCAGGCAAGTGCTCATTATTTAACTAGCCGTTACATTTTTTTAATCGCCCGGCTTTATTAGTCTAACGCCTTTATTAGTTAAAGCCGATCGATTCGTAAGTTGTAACGGTGTATCCGCTGGGCGGTGTATCAGCTGGGCGGCGTATCAGCTGAGCGGTGTATCGGCCGATCAGCTGGCGTGGTGCATCAGACAGGCGATGTATCAGCTGGAGCAATGCCTATCGGATGGAGGCCTCCCGTGCTCAGCTGCCGTGTCCGAATCTCACGGCTCGCTGCCGTCAGTCCAATCACCGCGTCGATGACGCCATCAGCAGCTGATGGCGGTCGCCGCTGTCATCCTCTGATCTCCAGTCCAGCGAGGCTGCTCGTCAGGGACCTGAGCCCGCTACATCTCAGCAGCCCGCCTTGACCTCCCAATAATGAGGAGAGATTGAAATCCGCCGCACCGGTACTCACATACGTGCGTCCGTACCGGTGGCGATAATATCTCGCTGCTGTGAGTTTGGGCTGTGCTGAGCTGTAACGTACGGTAGCATACCGTGTTCCTTAGCGTCACTGACATCCCCGTGGTTTCCTCCGGGAGCTCGGGCTCTCCTCCGTCCATTCCTCCATTCCTCCGGGAGCTCCGGCTCTCCTCCGGCCATTCTTCCATTCCTCTGGCAGCGGGGCACCGATGCTGGCCACATTGCCGTGCTGATGAGCACATGGTTGTCATATTCTCGATGCGAAGGTCAGATTCCCGTGACCGCTACAAGGGTCACATTCCATGGTGAGATGACCTGGATGGCTGTCCGCAGGTAGGCAAGGTCGCTTCGAAATGAGTCGATTAACTGGAGGCATCAAGTGTTAGTACCAAACTCAGAAAAAAACTCTTTATTCCTTACGAAATTGAGTTGTCATCAATTAACGTAAAATATTTAATCGTTTTATTAACCACTTTCCGAAACATTAAAAAGCCGCTAGTTACGCTTCTCGCTAATGAAGTGGTCTCATTATAGGCATTGGAAATAGCAGACATTTAATCCGTCTATAGAAAGTCAATGTCCGTCATACAAATAACATTGTCTTATTTTCTAATCAAACTGTCACACGGTCGTATATTCCCTATATATTCATGTGTGTCCCACTCCCAGTCATATCTCGCTCTGTTGTCCTTGAATATATAGTTCCATTCTACAAGTACAAGGTTAGTTTCAGAGGCAAAAATGCGGTTGCCTAACAATCCCTGATTCAGAATTGCTTCTCGGTATGGCGTATAGTATGTATAGAGATAACTGATTTCGACGTCCTTACAAGCGTATTTTACCAAATTATGCCCAAGTGCTTCACCCATGGACAAACATTCCCACGTTCAGTTACGAATACGATCAAATGCGTGGGTTCTTTATGCTCCACAGCCATCGCGCCGGGACCTGGCTCCGTCGAACGTTCAGATTCGGTGACGGCCATCGGTCTCCGATTCCGCCACCCTCTGACGAAACCCGCAGTCCGCACCTATCTGAACCAGTGCCGCGGCCACTGAGCTAATGATGCCAGCGTTTTTGTGACCATGGCGACAAAAACTGGCATTTCGATTTCATTTGAATACGAGGACATCGGAATAGCACTCGATGTGAGTGGAGGTACCTTTGACCCCTTTTGGCTAGGCAAGGCTGGTTTTTAGTTCGAGGAAAGATGACTCCTGGTGCATTATGATGTAGATCGGCTGTTGGACGACTGGCCCCGTGAATGGTGCCGCAAAATACAATGGTTGATAACCTCGGGGATCGGGCTGCCCTGAATATGTGGCTGGCCGATCTTTGTTCGAAGTTGGCTTTACCTATTACCTAAATTTATAGGTGACGCCTCATTTTGACAATTCTGTAGGATTGTCAGGATTGTCACAAACTGTGTCCATAAACAGACGTCGATGTGTTTCTGATACAACTGTATCGCTGACGCGTCCAGATTAGGTACGGAGTAATAAGTCTCAGGACCATCATCACCACCGAACAAACCGGGGTGGATTGCCGACCGGTCGCTCAGCAGGCTTCTGGAGAGTACCGTACATATCGCGAAAACGAAAGTTCTCAGCCGGCTCGGAGCGATGCAATGTATTAAAACTGTTTGGAAACCACTAATCCTGGAGCTGCAAGGAAAAGCCTTCCGTGTGTGCATTTTAATATCCAGCCGAGTGATGATGAGGGATGATGAGGATAAGTGATAGCTGCGGATTTAGTCCACGCCTCCGCACTGCAGTGGAGCAGAGCCCCGCTACAGCAGGACGTTCAAGCTTCGTGGCGAGTCCTGACGAAGTGTCTCCGCGTGGAAGGTGCGTCCTGACGGAGTGCCTCGGTCGCGGAGGTGCGTCTTGACGGAGTGCCTTTACATGACTTCATCCTGTCTGAAAAATGGAGAACCCCTGCGGTCCGGCCTTGGTGACTGCGACCGGAGGAGGCAGGCACCATGACTGAGGCCTTCGTGGAGACCCGGGTCTGGGTGTAAACTAGACCCCAGCTCATGGCCCCAGAGGGGTGCGTCGCCTTGTGGTTTGACCTTTCACGCGCTCGATGCCTCAAACCAGGTTGGAGCGATCCCAGCGAAGTCGACTCGGATCGTTCCATGCACATCATCGGCAAGGTTGCAATGTCAGCCTTGTGCCAGTCCCCAAATTGACCCGCTGCTCGTCCGGATTTAGGTCGGCAGCGACACATGCTGTTTAGTTTCAATTTAGGTTGGACGAGTCATTTCGGAGTTCCGTCCGGGCCGCTCGGGGTCGGGGTGCGGTACCGGCGGGTCGGACTGGGACCTGACCCCGACCAGGTAAGACGGATCGGCCCGCGGTCGGCGCCGCGCCGCTATGCCATCCCTCTGGGAGTGATGTATGGCGGGTGGTGTGTCTCTGACCGAGCTCTGGTGGGTCGGTCGGGTGGTCGGCCTCGACCGTCTGACCCGTACCGCCGGAGATAGCGCACAAGATCGCCTCCGGCACACCTCGTCTGAGATGGGTTCCATTTAGCCTGTGTGATGTAACGCCTGGCGCATAACTTAAACTGCTGTTTCATCTATCACCGCTGTGCTATTTACCGCTATAGCTCTCAGCTAAGGTGTCATACTCCTCCACAAAAGCGTGTCAAGTGTCACACACCGCAAACGTGTCACACTGAGTGTCACACTCCGCAGCGGGCCAGACGCGGTGTCATGTCACGCACTCAAGGTCCATTGCAATGCGCCGCGCACCGTCCCCCTGACAAGCGGGGCATTGTTGGTCTGTTTCCCATGACACCCCCTTCCACACCGTGACGCTCCGTCGGCGGGTGACGGCGTTGCGACAGGAGATATATGCCCCGGAGGGAGGGCTGTCACTTGTGATTGTCGCCGGGCCGCGGTAAGCTGACGTGTTTTGAGACGGTTGTCAGTTCCAAGGTCAAGGCATGCGCCGCCTCCGATGCCCAGCCGTGTGTAGGACAAGCGTGTCTATTCCCGGCGCCGAT